CCACCACCACCACCACCACCACCACCACCACCACCACCACCACCACCGAGACCCTTCAAGCAGCACTATCCCCCGTCAAACTCCTGTTTTCACACCAACAGCAGACTCGGACTCTTCATCGACACATTACATTAAGTTAAAGAGTTGGCAAGTGTAAATTGCACCAATACGCTTGCAGATCTTGTGGTCAATGCACCACTGTTTTGAACTAGCAGATCGTCAATCTTCGTTCAGTCTGCGTTGGTTTCTCGCTCTACGACACAAGCGTGCGGCTGTATTGTAGATCTCATTTGGGCTTCGCAGCTAAAAATTACATCGCCTACATCCTGATTTATGCACGTGCGTCTCGAATGTTTGTTGACGAAGTTGACGAGAGTGCCATTTCGGGTAGATGAAGTCACCAACTGAACCGACTAGAATGCTGTCATCCGCTAACGCCCTACTACTGCGTAGGTTTTAGTGAAGAGCAGGCGAATAGGCCGTTAGTCAAGTTCGTCTGTTTAAGCTGCGCGCGATTCGCCCCTGGGTGGCGGTAAGGCCACCCAAACTCGTCTACTTCAGGCAGCAGTTGTTTCCGTTTTTTCCCCAGTCACGCAGTCTGGGTGTCACCTGAATGCGCATGTGCTGTTTCTGCAGCCGCGGTTTCTCCCCAAGCGTGCCGCCCTCATCGTCTTGCGCCCACACCGGTTGGTTGCTCTTCCCTTCAAAGTCGAAATTCCCCTTGCGAGGCTTCTGTTTTTAAATAGTAACCACGACTCCGCTATCATCCACCGCAGACAAAACGATGAGTTCTCGATAGCACTCCTTTGGGCGTTTGGGTGTGTAATCGGCAACAGTCGATCGTTTCGACGAAGAAAACTGCATTCACGCCTCAAAGTCCCTTCGCCATGTGTGTCTCCAGCGTGGCGTTTATTCGACTAAGATTGATTTAAGTAATCGACGTCAATGCCACCGATTTTGACGTTGCTGTGAACTCAAAGGGACGTCTTCTGGTTGCCGCATTCTGAATCCCGAAGTCCAGGTACTCACGACACTCGTCGCATGCCGATATGACGTTGCTCTCGCCTCCACTAGCGCCGTCGATGCACCCACAACCTGGTCTAAACTTGGCGCAAGACTTGAATGCTTGTCTTCCGTGGGAAGCAGTACCAACCAATCCAACCTCCTGCTCCAAGTTGAATTTTGTGGGCAGACCAGGCTTAGGCGTTCACGTAGTCGGCTTTGGTAAGCAGGAAATCGCACTGAACCCATTTTAAGCGACCCCTTTGTAAGCTCCACTACAAACTGGCAAGATTTTTTGAAAAAAAAGTTCACAGTGAACTCGCTGAACTCGGGATTTTAATTGGTGACTCCTGGCCGCCCTTATCTTTGATAGTCGTTGTGTTTACCTTTAAAACTTGGACGTGGCCAGTGTCTAGCATCCATAAACAAACTACACCTTTCCTGTCCACCTGACTTCCCATCCATTGTGTTTTGCAAGGCTCTCTCTCGCTCTCTCTGTAAACATCGCCCCGGCTGTCGTAACAAATCTCAGCGACTTACAACAAACAACAGTTTGAATTCGCGAGTTCAACGCGAATTCGAGAGGCCATTCATGATTTCGCCAAGGCCAATCATGAGTTTGATTTTGTCGTGTTATCGCACACCTCTTCGTTTATCAATAGCCTTCTTTATGAGTAACCGTTCACCTCGACAAGTACACCCCGCAATGCCCTCTTTTTACCGAAAATGCCGGAGAAGTTGATTCGCAGCCAATTATGTTTACCCCGACAACCCCTTCCGCCGACGATTTCTTTTTGATCAGGTAAACAGCGGTGGGTGGACTTTTGCCGGTGAATCATCGTGGTTTCGCGTGTGTCATTACAACCCCAGGAATTCAGCCGTTTAAGTGCGTTCTGTCTTAAAAAAACGCGGTCCTTTCGTCGGGCGAAAAACCACAAATCTGCGTTTTTTTTTCTCGTCGTTGGCAATCTGGTGATCATATCGGCGTCGACCTTGACGCCAAGGTTGGATTCCGTTTCAGAAAGCGCTGGCAGGCCCCTCTCTATATTTATAACCGTAAAGTTAACTGGTTTCAACGCCAGTGAAAATGGACCCGCGATGGGTTGCATCGCGTCAGAAATGTTTGGAGTTGAACTGACTCCCAGCGACTGCCTGCTGACGTGGCACTCGGTAGATCAATTTCCGCGCACCCGGTCCTGTAGGCGTCTTATCGGATCTTCTGAATCTTATCGCTCCAGGGTGTAGCTTAGATTTTCACGGTCAGTCATTGGGTGGGTTTACATGCTGCGGCAACCTGTGGTGATTCTTTTCCTGTCTCCTTCCAGTGACCAATATGCCCGCGCATTCAATCATCATCAAGTCGGCGACCAACTTGGGTGTAGACAGGATGGATCCAATGGACGGCAACGCGCACGCGTCCAACGATCAGCTCGGCACCTCCGCGCCCACCCCAGACAATGAACTCAGCAGTCCCGTCCAAGTGAGTCCTCTGTTCTTCACGTCCCTTCTTCACCTTCTCCTTCATTTACTCCCTTTAGCTCAAGCACTTGTTTGGTCAGCGCGTTGACGCAACTCAGCTGTCTGGTGCACCAACGCGTTGAAATTGGTGGCTAAGTCTTCCATGGTTCTTGGTGCAGTCATGTGAACCAAGCGCAAATCACCAGGCATTAATCCCACCACAAGTTTTAAACGTTAAATCTACCCATCAAGAGTGCTCCACCGAGCGCTCCTCGTTTATCCCCTACTCATTCAAAGTAAATTAAAACAGAATAGATGGCGTTTGTACGTATGCGTATCCGTACATGATCCCGTTGACGAGAAATTGGTGTAGGTATCCTCGTTTTCGTGTCAACTGCTTGCCAACACAAGCTTTTTTTGGTTTTTTGCCTCAGTTGATGTCTGGCACAGTCGTGAGCAAACAGACCCCCTCTCTCCTCTGTGTTGCAAATTCCTTCATGCACCACTGCCGGCTCCTCAAACTGTTCAAAGTTCATTCAAATTTCTTGCACAAGCCCCTTTTGCAGCCCTTGCCCCGCCCACTATCGCTATCACGCCACATTCGAAACAGGAACACAGATCCGTAGGAATTTTCCCTGTTTTAGTACGCAAATATTTAAGTCCGGGCTTTGCGGACGTCCCCCCCTCAGACTTCACCTCTTTCAGACCCTCGAAACCAACTCGCTCGCTCTCTCACTTGCTGTGAACAATACACCAGCGTCAAAGCCCTCCGCCCGCGCCAATCGTATTGGCTAGAATTTGCAGTGTTTTATTCGCAGTGTTTGTGTTCCGTGTTGTCGCCAACCGACCAACCAGACTTGCGAAAACCACAACAACCGCCCTAGCGGTCGCTATTTTCACCGACCAATCAGCCACCGCCTTCCGCGTGGTCGATCAACCAATGGCAGCAGAGCTTTAAACGTACGCACACGCGCGTGTGTACTTTCACGATGCCCCAGCTGTTTTCGCCCAAATACCCCTTGTGGTGTCGTTGTATCGAGTGTGGATGACGTGGGATCGATTTATTCGATTACTTTGCGAGGGCTTCAACATTTCTATTGTCAATGACAGGTGCTCAAATAGTTTAAGTAGTTACCTGATGAAGTTCCATTGGGTAATGTGTATTTTGGTCAGGATCCAAGATCACTGTGAGGGGATTCCCGTTTTTTCTTAAATTAACCGATGTAGTTACGGGTTTCGATTGTTATAATGGGGAAATTGGCCTTGGTTTTACAGCGACGTGACCAGTCTGCTTTGGACGAATTCAGGCAACGAACGTAGACACGCCGAATTGCGATGAGTCACTGATCTGTCTAGGTATGTGGCAGTGCCACCCTTTCGCGTGTCTGAAAACGGGGGCGTGAAGAATACCTTCGTGTTTGATTTGCTGCTGGACAATTCAATGCGTACAAAAATCCTCTTATTTGTTGGATTGCATAGACGAACTCCACCGGCATTGGTTTACACATGATTTTATCTGGAAATATCAGATGAAAAAGTGATCCAGGCATCTGGTTGGAAGCAATTTTTTCTCTACATCGAACACCAGTTTGGTCAATGCCTTCGAAAGATAGGATCCCACTTTCAATATCTTTAATTACTGGCTGTTAGCTCTACCAAATTGGTGGTAGGTTTGCGTCATTGTGCACGAAATCTCAAATATCTGGTGAGTTTTGAGTCCCTAATCACGGAAACAATTGTCAGAACTGGCGACAGGGTGGGATCTTTGCTGGGTGACCAAGCAATGCCTAATAAGTGCCCGTTCGGACCAACCTTCGCTTCCGTCACTTCAGTTCACGATCCGATTCTTCCGAGGTGCCCCCGTTCCAGGACAGGGACGCATTGCGGATCGCCACAACACCCTTCATCAACAGGCACACCATGGTTGCCTGGTTGAGAACCACTGGCCTCGATGTCGAAATAGGCTCCACAAGTCTGACATCGTCCTAGCTCCTCGGTGCTGGAGGGTCATCGCAGTCAACTTGTGGTCCAATGCAGTGAGGTGGCGTAATTATGGTTTGCTTAAGGGTAACACTGACATCAAACGGACGATTAATCTGTGTACACTTGCGAAGTAACATCTGGCTCCCGAGTTTGACATCTCGCCTTCTAACAAGGGGAAGCTTTGAGTGGGAGGGACATTTGGCATGCCGAGCGTAGATAAATCACGAGGTAGGAGTTGCTGGAGTTCGCTCTTTGATCGTTCTCTTTCAAGGTCGGTGAGTTGGGAAGTTTGGCGGCTTTTGTTGGCGCCTTGCACGATCGAACTCCGAAAACCAAACGTCGCGCCCTTGCTCCAGCCAATGAGGGACTCGGGAAAGGTGTGGGGGTCAAGCAAGTTTACGCAATTGAAAGACGCTTCACGAATCGATCAGTTTTCAAGGGATTACCTATCAAAAGTACGACGTAATCCCTGGATAAACTCATCACCGTGTTTAACTCATGGATTTTGTTTCTGCTATTGGCTATAAATCTTAAACGAGCCTGCTTGCTTTTTGATTTGGCCCTTCCGCCTCACTCCATCATTTTCAAAACTGGAATGAATGCATGAATTCCAAATTTGTGCTAATTTGCATGTTATCGCCTCTGCGTTTGCATACCTCTTTTTCCCTGTCAGGTGGAAGCCTGGAAGAGAACCCGAAGCGACGTTCCGTTTTTTTCTCAAATGTTTCACAGAGAACCATATTGCTGTGTCGGGGGGGGGGCTAGGCCAATCGCATGATAACGACCGACCCGGTAACCGTTCCTTCTTTTTTTATTCGTTTGTCTCCACCTAACAGCGCCCTCTTTCTATTTTACCCTCGACAGTTCAAGGACGACCCGCCCTACTCCAAAGAGGTTTGTTGCAAATGCACCCCACACACCACCCAATCTCTGGGCTTGCACTTGATTTCCTTTGTTTTAATCAAGCTCCAAATTTGGGGTTGTGTGCAAGCGCGCGTCTGTGTGTGTGTGTGGCGTTTTCCGGGGACGCAAAGAGGTCATGCTGGGATATGCACTTTTTGCTATTAATGGCTTCGCTTCAAGTTGACGGCTTCCCGACTGAATCTCGCGGTGATTTAGTGGGAGATTAGACAGGTGTGGCCGGCCAAGACGATGGGAAATCGACCGTTTTGGAGGAGGGGAGAGGGGATGGTGGCCAACAAGATCGCGACAGGTTGGGCGTGGACATTGTCTGTTGACGTCCAAACGAAAACAGATAAGACGTGTGTGGTTGATTAGTCGCGCGGGGTTGTGAGTCGGGCGTAAATAGGTGTGCACGGGGTGAACGAGAAACGGGACACACGTGGGCGGGTTTGACAGATTTGCGTCATGACAAATCACCGTAGTCCAAGCAACCAAAAGGTGTATTCATGGCTCACCCCACCGGAAACGATCCCCAAAACACCGCCCGCTTTACGTGTAGGCCGCGCAAATTCGCACATTTATTACACAGCCTGCTTGCAATGCGTTCCCACAATCGACAGCTGTTTCATCAGGTGCCCCCCTTTTTAATGCCCTTCAGTACGACCACCACTTCTTCAAGAAGGTCCCACAAGGCGCCGAGGCGGTGAACATTCTGGTCGGCGAGACGCACTTCCTCAAGCACCCCGTGTCGGCCTTCGTGCGACTGAAGGAGGCGTGTCGGCTTGGCGACATGACCGAGGTGCCGGTGCCCACGCGCTTCCTCTTCATCCTCCTCGGCACCCCCGGCAACGGCTCCAAGTACCAACAAATCGGCAGGGCCATGGGGACTCTCTTCTCGGACGAGGTAAATCCATGGCTTCCAAGTCACTCTCGGCCTGTTAGGCATTCTGTGAGTATCACAGACTGCTGATTCGCTGATTCCCCACTCCTTTCACATGATGTGGGGATTCTGAGTCAGTGTTTGGTGCTCTCACATTGCCAGAGAGATGGCGCAAGGCCATGGAAAACAGGAGACACCGCGTCACATTAGGCTCAAAAATAGCTCTTTTAGGCAATGGTAAACCCCTCAGTTGCGATAAAACCACGATCAATAAACTAAACCTATTCTAGAGCATGCCTATTTGTGCTTGAGGCGATAGGGTAGTCTAGATTGTGATAACTCAAAAGGCAATCGAACCACATCATTGATTGCCTCATCTTTACAGTGTACCGCGATAATGCAGTCACACACCCTTGCTGTTTCACCAAGGCGTAGAATTAATGTGGGATGGTTTAGAGCGGTTTGCGAAATTGCTTCAGGCGTGTCGGTGTGGCCTGTTTGGTCCTCCTTTCTCTCGCTGTGCCCCAGTTTTACTGTCACCTCTCCTGTCACCGGCGCTAACGACGGTATCACCTCGCCCCCCCTCCACCTTTCCCCCTTTTACGATCACCCCGCTCTTATCTACCCCTAGCTGGCAAGCGGATCCATTCATGGCCATAAATTTTATCTACATCCGATGTAGAGTTTCGCCAAAATAAATACGCCCTCCAGCGCAACTGCCATGGCTTAGTACGCAGTGATTTGTTGATTTTGATTATTTGGAGGCAGTTGCCTCCCTGTTGCGTCATGCACAACTCCAAGGTGTCGAGAAAGCGAATGCAGTTCTTTCAGCCGGGTCCTCTGCTTCTCCTTTAAGATGTTCCTGGACTTCGCCACTCGCAGCCGGTCGCGGAATGACTTGTTGGCCGGCATTGACGAATTCCTCAGTGCCTCCTCGCTCCTCCCACCGGGCCAATGGGACCCCGCCTCCCGCATTGAACCGCCACACGCCATCCCCTCTCAGGCATGTTTCGCTTGACCACCTCCTTGTCCAGGCAGTCTTCGCCTGGACAAGGGAGTACTTTGGCCAATTGTCGTAGCTTTAAATAACCCCGATTAGCGGCGATCAGGTGCGCTGAATGTTGATGGGAGTGAGGGTGTGTTTTAGTCGCGTGCAGAATGTCCTTTGCATGAGATAGCTGTCACCGTGGGTGTTTACGTTTGTGTTTACTATGAGGGCCAGTGTTTTTGTTTCACAGTTGAAGGCTTGAGATAAATGACACAGGAACTAATCACTTTCTCTCACACAGAGAGGAACTAATTTGAATGGGTGGTGTGCGTGTGTGTGTGTGTAGGACAATCGGAAGGCCCTGGCTGCAGCCGCCGCATCCTCGAACCACCCTCAGACGGACGGGGCGGACAAGGCCCACCATCACCACCACCACCACTTGATCAGCTGCCACCCCCACGCGTCGTCGGCCACGGGCGGGGGGGACAAAGGCGGCGGCGGTGAGGGGCACGATCCCTCGCCCACCAAGGACATCGCCTCCATTGAGAGTGGCGATCCGGGCTCCCAGTCCGAGGGCGCCTCGGACATGGTCGACCGCAACAACGATCCAGCTCTCATGCGGACCGGACGGTGAGTGCCTCAAGCCTAACCCTTCCCCTCCTCCCCCCTCTTAAGGTCTTGGCACCAGGGCGGACCCCCTTGTTACATCTCTTGTGACCATCATGTTTGAAGCCTCCCACTTCGTTGACCTCTTTTTTTCAGCCTGTTCGGAGGTTTGCTCCTAGACCTGAAGCGTCGGGCGCCCTTCTACCTGTCGGACTTCACCGATGCTCTCCACATTCAGTGCTTCGCCAGCTTCTTCTTCCTCTACTTCGCCTGTCTTACGCCCATCATCACCTTCGGAGGTCTGCTGTCCAACGTCACTGGCGGCTACTTGGTGAGCGCTTTTTCGCTTCTCCTATCGCCGATCTTTCTTGGTTAAGTGCCGGTGTAGCACCCTGGCGTTTATGCTTTTTTGCCCTTTCTTTGCGTGCCTCAGTTGGTAGCCAAGGCGTCTGCGTCTGTAAATCCACCCCCCTTTTCACTCACAAGTCAACTGTTTTAAGGTAGACTCTCAGTTGAGTTTCTTGTGTTGATAAACTGCTCGTAGCCCTTTAATCCGTCTCGCCTAACCACACCCAGGCAGTTGTCGTCAAAACACAGCTTCGCGGGAATTGGACCAACCGTCATCGAGTAGTTAGACAATGTCTTCCACATTGCCTACGTAACCGCTGTTGCTTTTTCCATCAACAGGGCACCATGGAGTCGATCGTGTCCGGCGCGGTTGTGGGGATCATGTACGCCCTGTTCGCCGGCCAGCCGCTCACCATCATGGGCAGCACTGGACCGGTGCTTGTCTTCGAGAGCATTATCTACCGACTTTGCGAGTGAGTTTTCTACTTGACACGCTTTTTCCGGGGTCCTGTGACACAGGGATTTGGTGTAGTGCCGAACAGAAAGAGCCTCCTCTGGGTATTCTAAGGTATCGCGGTGACAATTTCGTCCAGGTGGGGACAATGTCCAGAGGTTAGTCAGCACCGGGAATGGAGATACGCAGAGTCGAGATCTGCCAACTGGCATGTTGCACGTAATTTTCATGGAACAGTGTAAAAGTGTAGACCAGAATTTTGACTGTGCCCGCAGCCAAATGTTCAAATTCGGTACCAGAAGCTAGCAAGCACTGATTGTGAACCTGTCAATTCGAAATCCCACGTTCTTGTCAAAGCATTCGTGTGTACTTTTTTTTACCGACCAGCGCTTGTCCGTCTCGCGCGTGTTTAGCTTTCTGTGTTAAGCGGTATTACGCAGTTTGCCGGGCAACCATTTCCCGGACTCATGTGTTGTAATTAGCGACACAACAGGCTGTGATCGTGTGTGTGTGTGTGTGTGTGTGTGTGTGTGTGTGTGTGCGTGTTCTTTTACATGTTGTGTGTTCGGATTTTGGGTCGGTGAATTGGCGAACTTGAGTAAACACTTCCCCGCGTCCAATTTACTACGCACGTCTTGCTTCTCTATCGAAGGTATTCGGCAATGCCTTGATGAACTGCGTTGGGGTGTGTGTGTGTGTGTGGCATGGTTCATACCGCACACCACAAAGCGTTGAACACTCCTCAAGACACGGCGTCTCGGAGGTAAACAGTCCTTGTGGGTACGCGTGAACTTACGCAATCACCAAACAAGCAACCTAAACTGACTGAGACAAGTCCCTTTGTTTACTCGTCGAGTACTGGGCACGCAAACACGCCTAAAATCGTCACTGGCTCCGCCCATTTTTTTCTGCAAGACATAGAAGTAGTAGATCTCACCGATCAGTTTCGTGAGTTTCTGTCACCTGGCACGCAGGGGCGCTTTTTCAGATTGTGATTTTTTGTGCGTCCCATCTCCTGAGATGACTTTGGTCTGATGTCAACGCATAATTTGCCGTGCTTTTCCCCCCCTCACAGAACCAATCGATGGGCCTACCTGTCGTTCCGCTTTTGGATCGGAATGTGGGTCTCACTGATGCTCTTCATAGTGGTCGCCTTCGACCTCTCCGCGCTGGTGCGCTTCATCACCCGCTTCACGGAGGAGTCGTTCGCCCTCCTGATTGCCCTCATCTTCATCTTCGAGGCCATTAAAAAGACGTACTCCATCTCTCAGAGCTACCCCGTCAACTTGTAAGTTCAAACCAATCAAATTTGCTGCCTGTGTGGTGCTCTCGGACGGACCCTTCACTGGCATTTTTGCAGCTCCTGGAGACCGTTCTTTGCGCCGCCTCTGGACTGTCAATGCATCAAACCCAACAACTACACCAACGAGGAGCTCCTTTCCTACGCCAGAGCCGAATATCCCATCTTGGACTTGCCTTTTGTGGGTACCAACGACACTGACGCGCACCACCATCTCAACGAGAACGGAGTGAGTTTGCGGTTTGTCTAAAGTCCTCCAGCAACTACAAACACGTGCTGGCATCTCTTCGTTTCGCATAAACCTCTGTAGTGTTTCCTTTGAGCTTGGAATTTTATTTCAACTAGAAATATTTTCGCGGTCTACGCGAGTTACACAACCCCTCACAATAGCAGAGTGAGTTTACGATGGCACTGCACTTTGTAGGAATTCAAACAAGGAAAAAGTGATCTTGGTGCCGACATCGTGTCATTTGAAACGTGTAATTATTGATCCAAACGTTTTATTAGAAGTGGTGATTTCGATCTTAGCCACAAGCCGCGTCCCGGACAACAGCCTCAAAAGTATGAAGTTGTAGAATTGCATGTTCTACTGAATAAAGACTCAACGCGAACGCAACCAGAGCTTGCAGCTCAGTTAGGAGTCATCTAAGCAGCTATTTCCAAAAGTTTGTACCGCCAAAAGGAGGAAATTCAAAAAAACTTGGAAGTTGGGTCCCCCCCACACGTGTTGACTGAACACAGCCTCCTAAGTCAACGTGTGATCACTTGATCGTCATTGATTACTCACCGCCAACGAGAAAGAACTTCTTGTGGAAAATTGTGAGAGATGATGAAAGGTAAATTTTTTACCAGGATTCCAAATGTAAAAATTTGTGAGTGCATTCCGGACAACCCAGTGCATCGACGCCGAAACAGGACATCCACTTGAAGAAGAAGGTTCTTCTGTGTATCTGGTGGGACATGAAGGGTGTACTTTGTTAAGAACCCTTGCGAACTGGTCAGACGGTGACTGTGGAACGCTACAGCCGACAACTGAACAAACTGAACAAAGAACCTGATCAGAAAAGGCCTTTTACTGGGCACGGAAGCCGACAAGTTACACTGCTGCATCACAACGCTCGATCACCTCGCGTTGCTCAGAAGACCCTCTTGAATTTGGAATGGGAAGTTCTCCCACACACGGCTTATTCACCAGACTTGGCCCAATCTGACTCCCATTGGTTTCAGTCAGTGCATCACGCCTTAGTGGATAAGCGAATCGGAGCGTTGGACGATGTGCGCAAATTCGTCCATGACATTGCTGTCTCGAAGCCTGCAGACCGGGGTGGTAGGTGCCGACGCAATCGGTGTACTCGTGTGAGAGCATGGCCGACGGAACCAAACCCGATCCTGACACCGGGGTGATGAGCAGGTTGGCCGGCTTTATGTCTCGATGGATGATACCGTTTGCGTGGAGGTAGCCAAGACCGTCGATAACCTACGGAACGACAAGTCTACGTGAGTTGTGTAACCTCTCAACCAACCAACAGCACGTTCGATGTCGAGCAAAAAATGCTTCTGTTGACCGAACACAACCTTCTAAGTCAACGTATGAACACACACGCTTTTCACTGCTAGCCCACCGGCATCAAAAAAGGACTTCTGGTGGAAAATTGTGGCGGGCGATAAAAGCTATATTTTGCACGAGAACCCCAAACGTAGAAGACCGTGGGTAGATCTCTGGCAACTAAGTACATTGACGCGAAACATGCATCCACTAGATGATGAAGGTTCTCCTGTACATCTGGTCGGACACTAAGGGTCTACTTTATTACGAACTTCTGGAAACTGGTCGTCAGACGGTGGCCGTGGAATGCTATCGCCGACAATTGAGCAAATGGAGCGAAGGACTTGATCAGAACAGGCCAGTTACTGGGCAAGGCATCAGGCAAGTCATACTGCTGTAGCATGACAACGCTAGACCACTTCACGCTGCTCGTGCGACTCAGAAGACCCTCTTGACCCTGGGATGGCAAGTTCTCCCACACGCGGCATATTCACCAGACCTGGCCCCATCCGACTAACATTTGTTCCGGTCAATACAGCAGCCGCAGCAGCACGCCTCAGTGGATTAACAGCTCAAAACGCTGGACAATGTGCGTGAATTCGAAGCCTGCAAGTTCCTTTCGCGACGTTACCTGAGAGATGGCGCGAAGTCATAGAACATGATGGACAATGTTTCCAAGATTAACTTCGTTGTTGCATCAAGTAAATTTGCTAAAAAATCGATGGGAAATTCGAGTCAATCTTACATGGAATCTTGGACGGCTATGGGCTAGAGCCCTTGTAGATCGAAAGTGCCTACACCCATTGGGGGCGACTTGCATCCTGCCTTGTAGACAATCGACTGGGCTCGTCTGAACCAGAACTACTACAGTTGGAGCTCGATGGAGGCGCAGAAGCAATGCGAGATCCTCCACGGCGTGTGGAACAACGAGGCCTGCAAGGGCTTCTTCGCGCCCGACATCTTCTTCTTCTGTGTCGTCCTAACCATCATCTGCTTCATCCTCTCCTACCTCATGCGCAGCCTCCGTAACTCTTGCTTCTTCCCTGCTCGAGTGAGTTGGTCAAAGTTGTCGTGGTGCTTGCCACCTCTTCTTCTGCAAATGCCTGCATTTGGGTTTTCAAGTGGCCCAATGTAAGATAGTTGAACTCTTTCAGGTTCGATCACTGATCGCGGACTTCGCGGTGCTGATTGCAATCGTGATTTGCAGCCTCATTGACTACTTCAGCGGTCTGCACACCCCGAAGCTCCTCGTGCCCGTCACCTTCGAGCCAACCCTGGGCTACAACGTATGCTACTGGTGTTTTATAAGTAGCACGGTCAAACGGCCTGATTGATAGGATTGTGTGTGTGTGTTTCAGAAACGCGGCTGGATTATTCCACCCTTCAACGGCAATCCCTGGTGGTCCGCCCTGGCTGCTGCTGGTCCCGCAATGCTCGCTGTCATTCTCATCTTCATGGACCAGCAAATAACCGCGGTCATCGTGAATCGACGCGAAAACAAGCTCAAGGTCAGTGTCGTAGCTCTTTTTTGCGTCTGCCAATCACTGTTGGTTGATGAAGCTTGTTTGTTGCTGCAGAAAGGCGCCGGCTACCACCTGGATCTGCTGGTTGTCACGGTGACAATCGCCGTCAACTCGGTCCTCGGGATCCCGTGGTTCGTGGCGGCGACCGTGCTCTCCATCAACCACGTGATCTCCCTCAAGAAGGAGTCCGAGTCTGCGGCGCCAGGCGAGCGCCCGATCTACCTTGGCTGCCGGGAGCAACGCGTCACCGGCTTCTTCATCTTCCTCTTCATCGGCCTGTCTGTCTTCATGTCGCAAATCCTGCGCGTAAGAGTTCTCTCCCTCGCATTTGGCCGCATGACCCCCAAATCACTGCTTTTTGTCTGGGCTTTAGTGTATCCCGATGGCGGTCCTGTACGGCGTCTTCTTGTTGATGGGTATCACCTCTCTCAATGGCCTGCAGCTGATGGAACGCGTGGGACTCTTCTTTATGCCTGCCAAATACCAACCAGATTATCCCTATCTTCGGTAGGTTTTGGCGTTGTGCTCGCACTCACTACTGCTACTACTACTAATTGTTTATCAGTAGTATTTTGTGCATTTCAGTCATGTCCGTTTGGGGCGTGTTCACTTGTTCACCTTCATTCAAGCCCTGTGCCTAATTCTGCTTTACGTCATCAAATCGGTGCCGCAAATCTCCATGCTCTTCCCCCTAATGGTGAGTTGCACTCTTAACCCCACCTTACTCCACTCGGGTTTAACACTTTTATAACCAAAACTGGCGAATGCACGCGAGTATTTAGAGTGTGCCTGCGACTAGAGCGTCACAGCAGGACGCAGTCGAGGTAGCGAGGTGATTGTTTGTGCGGTTTGCCAGGTCCTCGCGATGTGCTTCGTGCGTAAGGCCCTCGACTTCGTCTTCACCCAGGAGGAGTTGTACTGGCTGGACGACATCCTCCCGGACAGTTCGTGCTCGCGCAGTCGCAAGACCGCCGCCACTCGACGCTACGCCTCGGCCAACGACTTCAGCAGCAAGGTTCGCCCCACCCCGCCCCTCCCCCACAACCTCTACCCCCCACCCCACAACCCCAAACGCTAACCTCTTTCCTGCTTTTTTTAAGGAGTCGTTGCCGCTATCGCAGCCTTTGCTGCCCAATCTTGACAGCAAGGTGAGCACCACACGGAATTCGGTTGAGTTTTTCAATTTCGTTAGGGTCTAAGAATGACTGCGCTGATTTTGCCATTCTACTTCAGCCATTTAGCGTGAGCGAGGAGGTGTCGAAGACACTGATCTGGAGGCAACTATCTGGAATTGGATTGGTCTCTCAAGGCGGTGACGAGGACGATGAAAAGATATCGTAAGTCCTCTGTGAAGTTAGTTTGCCTCCTCTGGGCCCCAGCATGTGGTCTTGAACCACGCCGGGGCCACGGAATTAACCCTGGCCCGATTACGTTTCCCTGATACCTGCGATAAAGAAAAAGACCGGAGAGGACGTGGACACAAGCGTTTTCTTCGGAGCTCAACCACGTTGGTGTCGTGTGTGGGGTTTGTGCGTGTGTTTTTATACCTCAGAAGTGTGACTCATAGATGAGCTAACATCGAGATCTAGTTGTGGGGGTAATCTAATATAATAGCTCGTGCTAATGAGAGGGTGTTGAGGATCCGTGGGGCCGGCGACATGTTTCGAAAAGGGGGACCCTCTGTCGGAGGCTGGAGTGATCAAATTAGCGAGTGTGAATCGACGCGATTCGCAAAATGCCTAAACGACGTGCCGACTTATTCCCATAAAACCAAATCTGACAAGCTATAGGTTAGGGTAGACGCTTGTCTGTAAGGCGCGTCGTATTCGTGTGCACTTGGATGTCTTGGTGTGCCGTTTTAGACGTCGTCAGCACAAGAAAAAGGGCAAAAGAGGACGCCATCGCAGTCGCCACCCCGAGGACGACCAGAACACGGGCAGTGATAGCGGAAAGGGACGCGAAGGTGCGCGTCGCGGCAGTCGTTTCCGTTCTCTGCGCCTCTTCAGCAGTGACTTCGACGGCGCCATCGGACGCGACATCGCGGTGCTCTTCCACAACAACGAGTCGAGCGACGCGCCGGTTGCGGCGACATCAACGACGACTACCGCACCGCCGACGGAGACTCCGGTTACCACGACGACGACGACGACGACAAATGTTCAAAACCAGCTGCCAGTGCCTGAGATTAAGATTAACCCTCCGTCACATCAAGGCTCTCCGACAAGTAGTCGGAAAAATTCGAGGAATTAGCCGCCGCTGCCGCCATCACCGCCGCCTCGGCTTCTTCCCGCGATGCTCAAAATTATGCGCCCATGCGTGTCGTTTTACACACACACACAAACCCACATAATCGTCCAAAGACCTTTCATTCCGCAGATTAGAGGCCTCTCACTAACACCGACATTTGTAGAAGCAGTCTCGCTCACACATAGATTCTTCCTCCCCCCTCCCTCCCTCTCCTCTCTCTCTGTCGCCTCGCTTCTCTCTATCCACCCTCCCAGCCTCACGTAGTGTCGCAGTAGATTTGCAGGTGTTTGCTTTCATTCCATTATCTGAATTCATTATACACAGTTGCAAGTATTCGTGTGGCACATTTTCTAGTCCCATCTCCCCCTTACACACGCAGAACCCTGTACTAGTGAAGTTTGCGGACTCTCGCACACTAGCGCATTTGAACTCGAGAGAAGGCTCCCTTCGCCAGTTCCTTTTTTCAGTCGTATTTAATCGGGTAAACAATCAACTGTACTTCAGCACGCCCTAGATCTCTAATCTGTTGAATTTTATTATACCTATGCTCCAGTCACCACCTTCTCCTGCCACTTTTAGTCGATCAATTCAAACAATGCAATTAATTATAATTTGAAAAAAAGGGTCTTATTGGGACACGCTCAGTGTGCAATACGCTGCCGCCAAAGCTACATTATTAAGACTGATTGGTTCTCCTTGACAAGTGAAAATCTGATTGCTAAGGTTAAGCGCCATGGATGTGATCTAATTGGAATTTGTCTTAGGCGTTGTGGCACTGGGGTCTAGTGAAGCATGGACGTCTCATTATTCCAGCCTTCAATTTTGGTGTGGAATGATTACTAACGAGTGCGTCTAAAAGAAAAATTATAAAATGAGCTTAATTATAGTTTGTTTAAAAAGGTGGTTGAGGTAAATGTCAGTAGAACTGGGACTGTAGAGAATTCTAATAATGTAACTTGAAAGCATAAAAATGCAATGATAGAGAAGTGAAATGGAATATTGTTAAAGGTTCTAAATTCATAAGAATCCACACTTGTGCGATAAAATGCATTCTCAAATCGTTTGGAATGATTTCATAGCTTGAAGGAACCTGTTTTAAAGTTTGCAGCAATTGCCAGATCTATCATCAAAAGGAGAAAGAAAAGGTTTTAATGTCTAACATAAATGCAAATGCACAAAACTAATATCTGCAGGCATTTGGAAGTGGACTGACAATGCTATTTTAAAGTTATTTTGGGGCATTCAATCTGGAATGCATTAAGTGCCATTTAAACTTCACTGATGGTAGAATATCGATTGCTTAAGAAAATATGAGAAATATTAAAACAGTTACACAACGTGTCGACAAGTGATGCTCTCTTTTGATTCGATTGTGAAAGTGACAATCACGAAAATTTGGACACTAAACAAAAAATTGTAAAATTTACTCAAAAATCATGCTTGCATTAATCTGCAAGAAATACGCAAGTAAAATTAGGCATTCGGCAAGCTGATTTTGCGAAATGTAGATAATGGATTGCAGTGAAAATGCAGAAGCATAGCATTCCTTTGACAACTTACATCTCTAAACTGAGATTTCTGATCACCGTATAAATTCTCCCTTATTTACACGATAGTGTTAGGGCCAAAATCTTAAAGATGACGCTACACTCGAATAATACCAGTCCATGTTCTCACTGCCAACACTAATCAGTACTGATCACCCTTAACTCCTCGCACCATGATCACTCAAAGATGCATAAGGAGTGCACTCTGACAAATATTTTGTCTCTAGTTATCAGTCTTTGCTATTTGTCATTTACTTTATCACGCAAAACCAAGTGGTCGTTGCCTTATGCTGTAATGTTAGAGATTCAATTTACATAAAATTTGGAGTACATGGATTCTGCGCCTGGGTTACTGCCATCATAAATGATTGCAAAGTTGACAAATGTTAAAAAATTGTTAATTGCAATAATAATTTGACAGATTTCAGTTAAAATGAAATGACTATTTTTCAATGTCAATCTTTGTTTTATTGGTCTGAATTTCACATCTGACGGCCTTAATTTAAAAAGCGTTCTTTTAAAGAAAATTATGAATTGGATATTTGCGGCACTTACTTTTATCATTTTAATTAAGGAAAACTTTGCAATTGTCTATGAGGGCAACTTATTTCATGTTGAGGTATTATATAATGCACCGCTTATGTTCATAGAACTGGAATTTTGTGTCTCGTTTCTGTTTCATTAAAGATACAAGTAGTTTACAATTCGAACTGATTTATCCGGAGGTAAAGTAACAATACTGTTTAATCAAAAAGGTTCTTGGTTCACTTTCTCTAGATGCCTTTTGGGATGCTCCTGAAATATGGGATGTTGCATACACTTCACGCATGGTAAATATTTATTCTCACGAAACCTAACCGTTAATTCACTGTGTAACTCTGGCCTTTGCATAGAATATTAAAATTCGTGCGTGTAAAGAAGTCAGATGATTAGTGTCTTTGGTTTGTAGACATGCAGGGAAAAAATCACTCTCCTCCAAGGCTTTTCACCTAATCAAAAATTTTTACTATCTGCGGAGGAAAATGGATGGTGTCAACACGTTGACTTTCGCAACTTTGATCATCCATTTGAAGTACCTGACTTTAGAGAATCAGAAAGTGGAATGGTGTCTCGCTTGGTAGAAGTTGATACTCGATACCGAAATCATTCGCGCCATGATCACCCCCGCCAGTTGTACGCTTTTTCTCTAGAGAGCTACCAGTCATCTATTCTACAGTCTGCCTATGCAAGGTACCAAATAATGCCAGATGCTTCTCCCAACTGGGTGTATTGTAAGTCGCCGGAAATTTCATTCACTCCTGGAAAAATCTCATGGTGGTTCTTCGCATTGGACAGTTGCAAGGTTATATGAGAAATAATCTTTTTACTGCTTATGAGAGATAATTTTTCAAGCATGTATATATATTTTAGGAGTCCTTTCAGGATAATAAAGGCGGTAGACTGGGAGAGGATCCCATTGTCTATTATAGATTGGAAATGCAAAATGGAAAGGGTGGAGGAAATTTATTTACCAGACATTTTTCTGTTGATGAATTTGGTAATTGCAATTATCATTTTTATTCCGTTTTACTTAATTTAATCATATGTTTTTTAAAAGAGAAACGTTGTATTTTTATTTCAAGGGAGTTTGGAAACCGTTTTAATATTTTGGGTTGCATCTATCGGAACGCTCTTTATTGGCGGATGGATACTAAGTAAGTTCGGATTTTTGATTACTCCACGAAAGCACTTAACTCTATAAAAGCTTCCTGATGCAAATTATTATTTAAAATAACATTTTGACAATAAACCAACCTTTTTGGTCCTCATTAAACTGCCATTTTGGCCTCTATCCCTCATGACAAAATAAGCCAAGATATATAACAATCGCTTAACAGAATAAGGTCCTTAAAACCGATGCATAAACCATCCAGCGTATGGCTGCATACTAAAAATTAGTACAAAGTGGACGTTGGGCACGCACCTTTTCCGTTTATTACCACTGACTTTGACGTAAATTTGCGACTAATTTTTTTAAGAGATCTGGGGTAACTTACCGAAGTAATAGAAGAATTTATGACAGTTAAATTTTTTTAACTTGCATATTAGTTACGGAAAAAAATACGAAAATACTGCGCATTCATTTCGCGTTGTTTGGTGGCGTTCTTCTCTTCGCATTCCTAAAGTGGCTTTCTGCACTGATGTGCCTTGGACACCTTTCGAACACCGGTCATAAGCCGGCATGGCTGGAAATCATTAGTAAGTTACATTAGCGACCTGTTTATATGACAACTAGGCTAAACAATAAGGTATTGGGGTTTTGGGAACTTTGTGCATAAGCAAGATTTAGGGCGCCGTGTCGCAAATGCCGCGGTGGGGTTTTATACCAGCCCTTAGTTTTGATTTAGTGAGCGATTCCGGTTTGACTATTAGAACGGCTTTAAAGTGGTCAATTATCCGAAAATTAAAACAATTTTTTTTCACTATATACCAGAAATTGATCAAACAGTTCACTGAACAGGCGAGCAAACGTTCTATCGATGACAAAATCATGAGTAGCTCCGTGGTGAAGTTTCTACATTAACTAAAACTGCTTCGTTTTGCAAATTTTGAGATCGTGAAAGGATAAATTAAACAGTTTAATAAGACACCCAATTGCGCCATTAAGTTTATACCTGAAAATGATTTCCCGTCAAATTTAAGTTGGAATAGCATCACGTCAGCTGCTCCCGCAGAAAGCGCAAACGCGGACATTTTTGAAACCAAGTTTGTCTGGTGTCTCAACGTATTCGTTGTGTATTCTGAACGAACACTGCCGAGTATGACTGGAAAGCTGAAACAAAGGTGCCAGGAAACCGTTTTTCAAGTGCTACTTGCTTGCTCATCATAGCAACATTTTACATTGCTACCATGGCCAGAGATTGGTTACAAAAAAATTCAGAGATGCGAAATATGCCTTAGTGTTTTGAGTGCAACACGATCCTTAACCACCATTTCGTAGACACATTCCTCGGGTCGTCTGAAGGCCATTATTTGGGTTCTCCATGTGTACGTTCAAAAGTGGAACTGTTGTGGTCACACACAGTCCGCTACCGACAACGCCTTACCGCGATTTCATCCAAAACCACTCCCAAGTTACTCAGATGCGGGTGCTAGACGCAAAAACGGACTTTTTATTGGACCTTTCAGGCGACTTAATGGGGGGCTCTTCGCATTCCGCCCTCGTGGCTCTGCTCCTGCTGCTCGCCTCCGGCCACGCCATCGTCCACAAGGCGCCTGGAAAGCGACTTAAGATGGCCCTCGTTGCTACGGTCGCTGTCTACACCCTTGTCCAGTTGATTTGTGGAATCACAGCAACGCTTGTGCGTTACAGCCGTAATCCTTTCCCGTTGTGCACCCCACGAAATTTCATTCAGACCTTCTTTGGCATTAGCCGTTTGCATTAACACTTAAGGGTGGCAAAATTACCTGATGGTAAAATCAGTGCGTATCGTGTCTGCATTACGTATTTTCAAAGTGCATACAAAACGGTAGTTTTGAGATAGGTACTTTCCTCATTCGATTCTGAAGCTCATTTAAACAAATCAGAAGTTCATTTTTCCAACATAGTTCTAGTTAGAGAAGATGTCGTGGTATGCTGAGTTTTCACGCTAAACTCCAGTCACCACCAGTTCAAGGGAACGAGGCAAGTTAGCAAGTTGCCCATGTTAGCACAGATTAGTCGGCGGTTTGTTGAACTTGCGCAAGCATCATAGCAATCCCCAGGCAACGCGACGTGAACACATGTGGAACTCCATGCATAATATTATTACTATTTTTGCATGAAAATGATCCGGCACTGACCCAACGCATCATCGCCCTTAACAACGGCGCACTCGATAATTTGGCGCTTGGACGCTCAAATTGGGATCCAGACTGGCTCATGTGCAAGTTCGCTCGAAAGTGAACAATGCAGTCTTGTTTCCACAGTTAATAACTGTCCTAACACAGATCGCAAACTTGACAAGATAAGAAGCTACAAGCAGATAATGCACAGCCCTTTTTCATCCAAGGTCCCTGATTATGAAAAAAATATGTTTTGGGGGTAATTTCTCAACGCACATGAACGAACTAGACACAAGGCTTATATTGGCTCAAATGCAAGTTAAAGTGAAGCCCAACAGTTTATATATTGATTTATTTAACTACCAATTAAAGGCCTTTGACACGGGTCGCGCCAAGTACATCTACCAATCGCCTACCGGCTATACTCTGGTGGCACTGAACGTAACCGCGTGGCTCGTCTTTCTATTGGTCGCCATGTACACAAACACTCATTGGCCTTCGAAACGAATGTTCTACTTGCAACTGATTGCTTTTTACACAGTTTGGTGAGTTTACTTCAAGTTCGTACATTTTTTAGTAAACCCATAAGATCATTTTCTCATAAATTACTGATCACATTGTTTGATATAATCGACAAATCTGTTGGGCGATTCATAGATAAAATCGCAGTAGTAGTAGTAGTGGTGGTGGCAGTAATAGTAGTGAGGTTAGTAGTAATAGTAGCAGTGGTGGTATTAGTAGTAGTAGTAGTTATAGTAGCAGTGGTGGTATTAGTAGTAGTAATAATGGTAGTAGTGGTGGTAGTAGTAGTAGTAGTAGTAGTAATGGTAGTAGTGGTGGTAGTAGTAGTAGTAGTAATGGTAGTAGTGGTGGTAGTAGTAGTAGTAGTAGTAATGGTAGTAGTGGTGGTAGTAGTAGTAGTAGTAGTAGTAATGGTAGTAGTGGTAGTAGTAGTAGTGGTAGTAGTAGTAATAGCAGTAGTGGTGGTAGTAGTAATGAGATTAGTAGTAGCAGTAGTAGTAGTAGTAGTGACAAGTGCCCTTCTTTTCCTTCAAACATGCTAAATCTCCAAACTTTAATGAGTTAAATAATTGATAAAGAAACCACGCAAATAACCGAGTGTCATCCTCTAGTCTGTAATTGAAAGTGGAGAAATTTGTAAAAACCCAGCAGCGTAGACTATTTGTGACAATTACTTTACGATCGCTTCGTGATTTTGCACTCTCAGGTTTTGGACTCTGCCGATAATTCTCATAATCAACGGGGACTACATTCCGCTATGGCGTCGTCTTGCTCTCCATCGGTCGATCGCAAGCACAACGGACCTCCTTGCCCATCTATATTTGCTCGTGAGTTACTTAGTCAAACTCTGCTTTCTACTGTGATTATATAAGTAACACTTTTTGATCCCTTCCCATTTTCAGTACACGTTCTGGCCGAGCAAATTGCCCAAGCACTTCGCGCAGTCTGGTATCGGAGACGGTGAAGATGGCGACGTAGCGAGTCTAGCCCAGGTGTCCCGAACCTCCGTGACCCCAATTACCATCCCTTCGCTGGTGCCGGAACCAACAGCCTCAAGAACGCCAAGGAAAAAGCCACCGAAATCGACTGGCGGCAGTGGCTCAAAGATGGAACTGGGAAAGCCGGGTGAGACGTCTCAGCCACCGCTCACTCCACGAACCCCCGGTGAGAGCCCAAGGCCGCCGCCACCTCCACCACCAAAGGCTTCGTCGCCAGAACCACAGCCCACGGAGTCGGAGAAGCCGACTAAGGACGTAAAATCGACCTTCCTGAAGAAACTGATGCTGTAGAAGCCAGTGCGACTCTCTCGATGCCACCTGCACGCCTACACCTTAACCACGAAGAGCACCCTTTAAGATCGCACATCATTCATTGTACGAAATACATATGTCCAGAAAAAAATCAATAGTAAATCGATTATTTACCTATCACCTTCCATGGTGATCTCCCAGATCCTTTACGGCCTTTTTACTCTAAATCAGTGCGACGAAGTTGGATTTGAGTTGGGTGGAATCAATGCTCTGTGTCTGAGTTATCGATCGCTTGGTTTTTTAGTTTGAGAATGTTAGTTTCCTGTGCAGATAGAGACTGATTAAGGGTCTAGTGGGCTTGTCAATTTGAGCTTTTGGACACCACGATGGGACCTCGATGGTCCACGGAAGGCGCTTGTAGATTCAGCAGACACATCGTGAGAGCTACCGAATTCCATACCGAAGTGCGGCTTGTGTGCAAATGCACACAAAATTACCAATCCGGAAGCAGAGATTTGAGCACGATGATTGGTTACCGGAGTCCTGATGTGTAACGACCACTTTGTTTTCATGGCTAGGGACTGGAAACAGTGAGGTCCTGCACTTTATTCCCATGGGCGTTTGTGTTGGGAATCCACGATTCCCCAAGATTGCTCGTCGTTGGTTTCTGGCACAATTTACACTAATTTACTAACATGTGTTTTGTTACGCTTTTTATCATGTCAAGGCCAACCTTGACTCGAACTAGTTTCACTTTTGACAACTCACTCCGCACGTGGCTGACGTGATCAAAGCTCTCTACACGAGCGCTGGCCGCGTTCTTGTAAAAGCCTGAGGTCGGTTCTAGCGTCATCAAGGGATCTGGTACCGTTACTTGAGTAGGTGTTTTCTTTTGTTATGGGCAAACGTACCAGTTTCTCAGGAAAGCGCACAGGCCGTTACGAATTACAACGGCCCAATCGTTCACGCGGACACGTCTGAGCACGCACTCGCCTCGAATCGTGCCAACCTTAGACGCCTGCCTCTTAAACCAATACGACCTTGAGCCATCCAATAAGCTGCTGCGTCCCAATCGCCTCTGGTCAACTTTAAACCTCCCGAGTGCCCCCCCCCCCCAATTTAAATCACGGCTTCTCAAACGACACCAGAGACAAGTTACGTCGCGCAGATCCCAAATACCCACTCCATAGGACTGTTGCAAGTAAGCTGACGCCGACTGGCAATTGGGAGAAGAAATAACCCACACTTTGTCCAATTACAGATCTTTCTTTGGCACGAAGACGCACACACGCACACACACACGACTTCTGCCATTAAAATTAATACACATTTACACGCAAATATACGTTTACAGCAGATAAAGTAATGGAGCGGAACTGAGGTCTCACTTTACAGCAGACAAAATAAAATGGGTTGGCCCTAGGTAGCAAAATAAATGCATTCACCCTGACGCAGTTTCTACAGATACAGTCGTGGGAGTAAACTTAACGGTGGTGACGTCTGGCCTGCCTCTTCGGTGCTTGAATGAAAGCAGAAATGAAAGACAATCGGTTGTAAAAACAGAAAGGGACGGCGCGCGGCGTCTGCTCTCTACGAGCCCACCTCGATTGGCGAGGCCGCCGACTTTGCGGTGGCGGCGGTGCTTTGTCGCTGCTGCTGCTGCTGGTGGGCGGACGGCGCCGGCGTCGTTTGAGCAGGTGGGACCGGTTGAAAGGAGGTAGCGGTGGAAGAGGCATGCGGACAACTCCAAACAGACTCGAGTGGTTTCTGTTGCCGAAGAGCACGATCAGTGCGGTGGAATGCCTGTTGAATGTGTGAGAGGACATTTTCGTCGTAGAGAGATCTCGCGGCGTTGGCTCGGCTAAAGGGCTCTGAAGGCAACAACAGTCTGGTTAATATCTCGCTCTACGACGAAGGCAACAGTAGTAGTGTGGATTCGAGTAGGTGACGACGTTTTCCAGCGTGATTGAATGAACTGACCTTCGACAAAGATCTTGAAGGAGCACGAGGTGTGGACGCGTTCGTGGAGCGGAAGGCAATCAAGGGCCACGTCGATGGGCAGGGGCTGTCCGTGTTTGATGGATATGGCCCATTGGTTGAAGTCGAAGGCAGCATAGTAGCTGATGAAGCCGGCAAACAGCTCAGCGAGAGTCGCCGTGTTGCTGCTGGACAGCTCGCCCCACGGCAACTGCAGACGCATGTCGAGTTCGCCCACGGACCGCTCGTATGTGAAAATTTTCTAAAGGGAATAACATCAGATCGGTCACTAACACACATACATGCTTAAGTCGCATTCTAACAAGGCTAACCAATCACAGTGGATGCTGCTAAGAGTCGAATGAACGCCTCGTAAGGGCGAAAATGTTATAATTCCAGTGAAACGCTAAATATTAGCACCCCCCCCCCCCCCCCAAAATCGATGGTAAGATCGTTGAGCTCCAATCAAGATGTTGCGATCAATAAAACTGCACCAAGTTAGAGCAAAGCCAGCCTGCGGATTTGTTAAACAAGAATCAGCTTCGTTAGCACAATGCAGTGAAGATTAGCGCAAAGGCATTAACTCACAGGAAAACGGGCCTGGAGATTCGGAAGAACTGGCGGAGAGCATCCGCACTGAAGGAACTGAATTAGCATCAAAAGGAGGGGGTAGGTGGAAAGACGCCCACGACTTCCATCGTGGATGTCCATCTTTTGTGCCCAGTGCTTCACAAACATGCCCAGTGGGCGCACTCTCCAGTCAACTGCATAGGCAGAGAATAAACGGCGTGTGTCACATCATGCTGAAGAAACAACCGCCTGTGTGCCCAGTGCTCGGCTATTATTCCAACTGCTCATATAACCTAGGAGTCAGACTATCAACAGTTCGGTATTCTAAAATCAGTTACCGACATTGCACATTAGTTAATCCATTTAGTGTGCATGAACTCATATTGGAACAGTAAAGGTGTTTGCGAACACAGCAAATAGCCCTGAAGAGTCGGCACAGAGGTGTTAAGAACGCGGATTAGAGGTTGTTAATAGAGTGAGGGCTGTGAAGTGGGAGTGCAAGAACATGATGGAGGTGTCAGTGTATGAACTGGCGATTTCACATGACCGATGAGGGCGGCGAGTGTGAATGCGTGTTAGTAGACATGGATCACCACGATTCACAACAAAAACACGTAGCAAAAAGGCGTGAATTTACAATTACCTCTTGTGTACATCGCGAGGAGGTGTGTGTTGTAGATGCCCACGACGTTGTTTATATTCAAGTCGCAATCTACACCGGAGAGTTGGTCACGAAACTTAAGAATGGGAACTTTCGCTCGAATTAGAATGCACTTTTTAATAAAGCCTGAAAGAGAGAAAGCGAAGCGGACGAATAACACATGTCTAAGAAAGTGGCTGTCGTTGTCGGTTGCAAGAACTTGGTAGCTTTAAGAAGGGTTTCTGCCAGCCGCCTATTCTTGTGGAAAATACACACCCACGTGCTATGAAATGGTTTAATATGAATTATTGTTCTAGGTGTGAGTGGAACAAGAGCCTAGGTTTTTTGATAACCCTAAAAATGGTGGGTGACAGCACTTTGTGATCGCGTCTGTAGCCCATACACACTCACTTTTAATTCGAAAGTTCTGAAACAGCAAGCATTAAATACAGTAAGGTAAAGATTTGATTATAAAAAAACGCACGCCATAGGAAGGTGATTTCGGCGGTACAAAGTCAGTGCTGGTGCACTTACGTAAAAATCGCATTAGCACAAAAGCAATCTCTAAGACTAAACAGTAATTTTGCAAGAAAAGAGGGTTAGGACACAGGAGGACGATCACACGTACTACACTTGCGCAGAGGAATCATAAGTTGGTGGAGAACAACTGAAGCTTCTCGTCTGGCTTGTAATTCCTCTGAGGTAAGGACAAGGCATAAGTCCATGTCGCTTTGATCCGACCCGAAACCGTTTATAGATGACCCGACAATAAAGAGTTTCGAATCTATTAGCAATGAAAACGAGCAGACGTAAATACGACATAAAATGGATCAGGAATCGTGCAATGCTGCAAGGTCAAATTAATGACAAGATGCAATATGGTAATCGGCAAACTTACTTCCAAACACAGCCGATATAATCATGTGAAGAGCATTTCTAAAGTGGACTTTCCTAGAGTACTTAGTTTGAGTTTGTCGGGTTTCCAAAAAGTACTGCCACATGTAAACTGACAACGAATCAAGGTAGCTCAAAACCGGATAACACTGAAGTTGTGCCACGGGGTTCTGAAGGGACTTTTGAGGAGGCGTAGACGAAGGAGTCTGGGTGGAAATAGAGGTGGTGCTGGGCGATGTTTCGGTAGCATCGTCCTGCTCGCATCCACCGCTTTCCAAACGCGGTGCTGGCGGAGTGTTTTCATGCAGGTTGGGGGGTGGAGGGAGGGTCAACTGTTGAGGAATAATTGGAACAGAACAATTGAAGTTGCACACATTGAATGGAGGCCCGGGCGCTGCCACCACCCTTGGAGTCATAGGGTGATGATAAATAGGCATCACGGAGGGCGGCTGGAGAGGCATGTAATGGGAACTACTACTACTGCCGCCACCACCACCACCACGTCGGTACTACAAGTAAGAAACAAGAAAGATTATGACACAATCAAAAACTGCACATTCTGGAATGTGCGAATAGGATTAGGATTTACCTTATACGACTGAGAATGACTATAGTGTGCGGAAGGTGCCCCGTGGTTGACGTATTCGTTCATGGTTTGTGGTGGCTCCACAGAGTTAGGCGAGGAGCGGTGGTGGCCTGCATGAGGTTGGAAATGACGATATGGGAGGTACGGCCGATGAGACGGCTGGTAGCGATAGTGTTTTTGTCGCCTGGACGAACAGGGTTCCTCGTACCCATCCGCCGTACCTCGTCGCGAGTTCCTTGAATTAGACGTTGTGGAACAACTGCGGGTGACAGAAAATGTTGAGAGTAGTTAAGACCTCATAGCATTAAAGGAACTCTACACGAATGTTCGACCAAACATCCCTACACGATCACTAATGAATTTACTATTGGAATCCAAAATATTACAGCTTTTATTATAAGCAGTAAGGGAAGTATTGTAAAGAGGCCCGTACCAAAATTTGCGCACTGATAGTTTTCAGATGTGGCCCTTAAAAACTGACAGTCTTATAGCAATCAAAAAGACTAGGTCACTTTCATTCTGTCTTGAAAACAGAGAATAGAGATGCAGTTTTGAGGCCGAAAACTGCAGCGCAAAACGATCGCACCAGGGGCAGCTGCAACCAATCAGAAAGAAGTATAAATTGGTATTAACGGTGGGTTTAATTGGATCTGATTTATTAAAACATGCGTAGGTAAAAATATTAAAAAATCGACAGCCACAAAACTACAGTAAAAATGTGCGAGGTAAGCAAAATAGGTGTAATGCTTTGTTACATTACAGTCATGTCATGGCAAATGCAGTAGTTTCAGAATAATTCACAAAAATTTGACATGGGATGTACGGGTTATCCAATAATTAAATACAGTAATAAAATTAGACATTTTGTGAAAATGTTTGCACCACATATTTAATATTACAAAGGCTATCTTTTTCAAAACATGACAAACATTGATAAACAGGTAAGTAAGTGCGAAATGTTTTATTTACACCCAATGACTTATTTTTGAAATAGAAAATTGGAAAAGGTTTTGCTTGCTTGCGACAAGTCTTTGCTATTATGGCTAAAATGCATATATTTAAAGTTTTTTATGTTCTAACTGAATTAAACCCACTGCGTTTTTGGTATCTCCTTTATTGACACCTACAAGAGAATTTCATTCACGATCTTATTCTTTAGCAAACATTCTACGGCATTAAGAAATAACACAAAGCAATGTTAGTCAAAAAATTAATTGCTCGGGTGTAGACATCGATTAGTAGTCGCGATTAAACGGAGAATGCCAGTTCTAGTAAGCAGCTGCGTGTCTTTCAAAATTGCGTCAAACCCTCTGCATGTGCACATTGTCCAAATTTCGGAATTTGCCTCTGCTGCTGCAAGGATTATTTGTTTACTATAATGAATGATTAAACAGCTCGATATGTTATAAAAATCGATAAAGCAGTTGACTTTTTGAGCAAATGTTGATGACCTATGCCTTCTATCACTAATTCTGATTTTAATGTTGCGCAAATGCGTCAATTATGTGAAAGGTTTGCATATCACATGGCGCAAAATTTTTCTAATTGCATATTATTAATAAATACCCATGACCCCTCGACGTACTGAGGCTGGCATAGAACTGTTGTTCCGTCCACCTTGATTTGTTCAAACTACACACCCTTTGTCCTATTATCCCCATCGAGAATAACTTTGCAACGAGTTTTGTCGTCAAAAATATTACATCACTAAATGCCATTCCAACTGGTTAAAAGGGGGTTAATACGCCAAAACATTTAACACTTTAATTAAGTAGTAAGTTGTTAAAAACAGACAATTTGAATTGTGCTGACCACTCTGTTTTCAAAGGCCTAGCTTAATCTATAAACGGTGATCTGCCTGTTCATTAACTCAACGGAACCCGTACCAGCCAACCCGACGGGCCGATGTTCACTAAATCGAAACTGACGCAGTTCCAAAGAAGATGGAATGCTACTTTAGTAAGCAGACATTCGCCGTTCTGCTTATGATCAGTAGCTCAAAATTACAATTATGAAATCGATTTTTTTGAATTAGTGAAGCAATTTATCAACTTCACCAACCAAATAAGAAAACCTCTTAACCGCTAATAATAAAACATCGGATAGTGAGAACTGCATGTTTATAATGACTGCGCACTGAACACACAGTTAAACAATACATGATACGTAATCGCTCAAGAAAGACTAAATGGGTAATTTTCCGTTAGTTGTTTTACCAAAAGATATAAATACCATCTAGCAAACTCCACTCACTGTTCTGTCCATCAACGCGCTTTTTAAAGGTGATAGGTATGTGTCGACGTAATGCGATAGCCCTAAACACATCCACATACATCAGCACAAGTGCTTTCCACCAACTTGCTCGATTTAATGCGTCTAATTGTAATCACCAGCATTGCGGTTGAGCGTTCTGAATTTGTAATATAAGAAGGGCATTCGGCGATATAAAATCAACAACAAAAAAAATTCTGAATGCACAGTCGAGAGTGATAAATTTGATGAAGGACTCCCTTCGGCGTAGTATGTCAGGGAGATCGGTAATCGCGCAAAATTAACCAACGAATCTGATCTTTGTTATTAAGTAACACTTTGAGAATTATTCAGCTGCATGTCAAAATTTCGAATTGGTGATTCGCAGATCCGCAAAATTACCCAATGAAGCCTCAAACGACACGCCGGTTGCCTAAACGATTATCCTACACCACAAAACTCTAAAATACGGTGCATTGCATTTTTATCTCAAAAACGAGAGAACTTGGTGGGGTCCGTTTGGAGTTAGTGTGCTATCAAGAGCCTTTCGCAGCACCTACAGATCACGGTCAGCTGGGATGATTGCGAAAAAAAATCCCTGAAACCAGTCCCTCCACCACGTCCAATAGCATTCTGACTTGAAATGTAACGCTTTGAATAAATTCGAAAGCCGTTTTAATGTAGGTTTGGAATACTGTTATAACAGACGCAAGTGTTCCTGAGTCATGTGGCAATAAAACGATGTAAACAACATCACAAGATTTGTTTTTCAACTAACAAACAAACAAGGTTACATTTCACAAACGTTGTGCAAGAGTGAGGCAGTACCGAAGTCAGATGAATTGCCCACACCACACCAAATTACACCAAGTTTAGCCAAAATTTTGATATTACGCCCATCGAATATCGCCACAAGCACAGAATTGGCAGAAGTCTAAATTAAATGACGCAGTTCTACAGAAAAAAAGCATTGTTGCGCTTTCCGCGACCTTGACGAAGTGGCGAATTTTCCATATTTTCACCCACGCGCCACCAGTGACGCAGAGGCCTGTGCATTCGCGATCCAACTCCGCTAACCAATTAACAGAAGTCCACCTCACGAGATATAAGTGTTTCCTTAAAAAATACAGAAACTCATGAAAACAAGGCAGGAAAGGAAATGAAATGATATCGAGAGAATGCACAAAACCGACCTCGATTGCATAGTTCTTTATGGCCTCCCAGGGTTCCCCACTAAGATCCCGATCAGACGGAGCAGAAACTCGAGCGATAATTAGTTTCTAGTTGAAAAAAAATAAAAAAACACATCTTTGGTCATTTGTTTACACATTTTAAGTCCCGCCCTAGACGCGCGCAACCTTGGCAACCGACGACACGACACGAAAGTGCGCGGTGATGTCGCGGACAGTGCGACCGGTTGACGACGCAGGCACGACAAGGACGGCGTAGGCGGCGTGTCGGAGTTGAGGGGGTTCGGCGTAGAGAAGGAAGTCCACACCGCCGAGAGCGAGCGACGGTCGCACGATCCAACCGTTCGACCGGTAGTAGAAGTAGGCCGCGTAGCGCGAAGGGAAGTCCGGCAGCCCGTGGGAGCGTTGGTCGGCATCGCCCGAGCGAGAGCACAGCATATTCCAAAGTTGGCGAGTAGCCGACTACAAAAAAGGCAACACGCTTGCCACCTCTAAACAACTGGTGACATTTTCAAATATGGAAAGAAAAATAATGCACTCGTTAGTGACTAAGAGGCATTCATTACCTTTGTCTCGGAGCCGTCTTCATTTTGCAGGAAAGATCTTGGAATCCTCACTTGAAGACATCCCAGACCGTGGAGAAGAAAAAAAATCTACAGTTGCTTGAATTATGAGCCTCAATTACTTCAGTGTCAAACAGGTATAGAAGTGACGCCTTCAAATCAGTACCAGTCACATTTGCTGCTGCTGATCTGAGCCTAAAAAAGGGTTATCTAGGAAACAAATCTACTGTTCTTGCCCCGGCACGTAGCCATAACACCCCTAAAAATAAACCTCTGAATTAAATTAAAGTTAAACAAACCATTTTCTGAACAATATCGATTTCATCGGGTGAGGTGATGGTGGCGACTTTTGATTGGCTCCGAGGATCGACCAATGTGGCCGTGAATACGTAGGGTTCGCCTCCGCATGTGTAGACAAGGGGATAAATTGGCCTCCGAGGTACGTCCCTTTCGGGACAGATTTTTGTTCTACCCAGCAACCTTTCCTCCTCAGTCAATACTCTTTTAGCTCGATCCTTGTAAACAAAGAAAACGCAACATTGTTTTAATACAGCAGTAGTCTGTTAAGAATGACAAGTTGGGCATGATCTTCAAAAATTCCTCATTGAACAAGAGGTAGAACAAACTATTTGATTGAGAAATAGGGCATCTTGATTTAATTAAATTCAGTAAAACATTGAAGTAAACTTGATATTATTTGATAACATCAACAATATCACATTCACTATGTTTAGTCTTTCAGATAACCAAAGTTTTCGGTGCCTTTCCTATAAGAATTTGTCTAATTTCATGTTATTATTGAAGGAAATTCCACATAAATTAATGAATAGCGATGTAAAAAGACAGGGCCTCCAATGAGTTGTTTTCCACCCCAATTGAAAGCCTAGATTGAGAGAAATTCTCAGCTGTAAACTGTACCAATTTCCCACGCTCCTCGCAACAAAACTCCCAGATTTAATCGCCAGTGTTTAATCCTTAGTAATCGTACTTAAAACAAATGACAAAGTTTACCTTGAAGAAAGTGCGGATACTTGTGCACATTTTAGCTCGCGTGTAGATTCAATTTTCACGTTTGAACCCACTACCAAACCACCGTAGCCTCCCAAAACCCAACCCCTACCAATTAAAAATGAAAAGATGCCGAATAGGACGAGAGAAATGCTAGCTAGGAGGTTTAGGGTAAAGTGGGAATCGAAGAGCGTCTCTCGTAAAGGTCCCGGTGTGTGGCTGTTGGGTTGAATCTGGCCCGAGTACTCCACACAGTACCCGGGAAGGCGAAGGTGAACGGAATGGCAGAGACACACGGCCGTTTACCAGATACCTCAGCGTGAGTGATCAGTAAAAGTACAAATGGCTGCATGGCCAGTTGAATGAAACGGGTGGCGTGGGGGTGAGGCATGCACAGGGGGTGAATGAGCAAACGGGCATGGTCATGGGTCAACCACTAGTGAACGAGGCTGTTTACCTAACAAAACGCTTATTCAGTCGAACCACGTTATGCATATTCTAATATCGACGACTTCCTGGTTCGTTGAAGAAAATGGACTTGCCAAATCAGTGTCCAACCACTCAATTACAGATGCCTCGTCACCTCACAGGCCTAGTGCAGTCACCCAGTCATTTTGCTGGCACTACACCAATTCCGGAAGTTGGCACAAATGACCTAGAAATCTTGAATTTCTGACGGTAAAGCTGTGCGAAGGGAGCGGTGTGTTGGAGCATGCGACGGCTGGGTTAGTGATCCTAAAAGCAGCACGTCTAGTCGTCCAACTGTCTTCATATTGCGACACCAGTTCCCTTTGCTATTTGAAGTGCCAGTCTTTAATGATCTAACCCGTTTCCATTTACTGTCTATTATTTGCCACAATGTGCCTGGAATATATAAAATTACGTTCTTAAACACCTGAGGTGCCACGACCTTCGTATTATGCAATAGCCACGCTTGATCCGCAACTGTGGTTGGTGAAAAATTAAAAAAAAACAAGCATAGCACAACTGAATAGGAAGGCTAAACTGTGCCAATTTAGAGGGGTTGGTCGTTTGACATTTAAGGCTTAGATGCTTTCATTGGGGAGAATAATTAGTGCCCCGGGAATGCCTGAGACGAATAATCGAAGACTAGCGCCTGAACACTTCGTATTAATTGCCAAAACAGTTTTCCACAACTGAGCTACGCTACCGATCTCAAGGAAATTGGATCGAAAGCCACAGTGTGATCTAACAGATTCGTGCGAATATTGTCCAAGTTCGGCAAGACCAAGGATTGCTTGTAGATCTAGGAGCAGTCAGATTGCTGAGGATGCTTTTGCTCGTAGTCCGCAAGACGAGCCTTACAAGAACTTTGCGCCTTTTAAAGATTGATTAAGCAACAACGACAATGGATTCCTTTTCAGCAATCAACAAAATCTCGTGGTCGACTGCAATGCTATCCACCTCTTCGTAGCACTGATATTTTGAGAACACACGCCATTTATGCTCTACGACTTTATTCCATGCGCGTTGGCCTTGAAAATGTATGCTCTGTCAATCAAAAAAGCTGCCATTTACAACTAAGACTTGATTGGCTGCCCGATCACTTCTGACTCACTCTGCTAAATAGGCAATTTTGGAATATGGAGAAAATTGGCAACGACCGGGACCATCAAGAAAACAATGCTTAGATATTCCAGCTTCTTGGCACACTGAATAAGTCAGTTCCATTAGCTTATAAAAGTAAAAAAAACTGCCAGAAGAGGCCTTGACCAACGTGTACCACAAGATCCTGTTTTACAGAGACGAACACAGCGCGAACCCACAGCAAGCACAAAATTAGCAGGGACAGAAATCACTTAAAATGAAAAATCAATTTATTTCTGGCCAAATAACCAAAAGATCAGAGTAAAAGAAATAGCGTGAATCAAAAATCCCAGCAGTAAGTGCAACCCCGTGGACACTGGAATGTCTGAGAAGATGGTGATGGAAGATGAGGCGGAGGAGGAGGAGGTGAAGGAGGATAAGGCCGACTGTCTACCAGACACTGCCGTAATCGATTGCCCTCGGAGACTGTGGCGACAGAGGCCTCAGCATCGGTGGACTCGTGACTTGACTGTCCAGGCTCGGTTGGTTTGCTGCAACGCCATTGGCTCCCCTGGAACCGCCGAAGGGCTTGGTAGCGAGGGCTTTAGCTCGACTCAAGAAACTGCCACCCGCGCTGTTGGTAGGGCTGCCGAAGGAGTCCCCGCCCTTGAAGAGGGCCTTCATTTGGTCTAGACGGGTCTGGGAGGAGTGAAACTGTGCAGGAGGGGGGTTGACTCGGAGTTCTGTCTGCGGACTCGAGAAGGTGGTCAGGTGGTCGGAACGGCCCACTGAGAAGGACTCGGGGCTACCGCTGGCCTGGACCTCCAAATACTGGGTCATGTTATCCTGAAGGAGCCGGTTCCGCAAGTCAGTCAGCTGCGTTCGTGCCTCGGAGAGCTCCGAGTTAAGCTCGTCCAATTGGGTGTGCAGCTGGTTCTGCTCCATGTTGGCGTGGACCAGTTGGGTACGAGTGCCTAGAAATGGAAAGCGTCGGTGCGTAAAAGAATTCCTGGCTGTCACACATGCCGACAAACATACATACTCCCTGTAGGTGCGTTAAATTACATAATTGCATAATTTCATAAGGCAAATACGAGGGGCAAAATGAATAGCGTGGTACGGACATTATTCGACCGAGAACGAATCCCATATTTCAGTCGAAACAGCATCCACGGCACAAGTTGCGGGCATTTTTACATGACGAAAGCCACCTACTCTTCGTGGGGCATGGATAGGTTGGAAACGCACGCGCGCACACACACACACACGCCTGTTAGTGGCAAACACGTGACCCCCAAAGCACGTGATCACATTACAAAACCACAGCCACTGCTGGGACCCTAACACCTACCTTCGCATTGTAAAATAGCTAAGTTTGATGCCTACACGTCGTCAATAGGAAAACACCCGCATTAACCGGGCTTGCAAGCACAGCTATAATGCTCTGCTAAGTGCCTATGCAATAAACTCTGATCCTGAACGAAATCGATTACTACACGTGGCTGGGGTGTGGTGGGGTCAATTTGAACGTGCATATACAGAACCACAAAAAAAGGGAGTGAAGACGGCAAAAAACGTACTTCTCAGTCGCTGCTCGAGGAGATTGGCCAACTCGATTAGCTCCCGTTTGGACATGTCTACAAGGGGCAAGAGAGGGGGCTTTATGCAGAGTTCCGGTACACGCTCAAGGCGTTAGCTACAAAAGGAGATGGCAAAACCTGTTGTGGACCGTCAGTGAACGCAGGCCTAGCGCGGGATGACTGGTATCTACAACTCACTCCTTAATTTGATTAGTCTCTGTTCACGAGGTTCCTAGCAAATGAGCAAACGGTTGGCATGTAGCTTGCTTACCACCACGAGACGATCAGAGGTAGTCAACAAAAAAGCCTCTACATACGGGACTACAGACGTCAAAGTTTTGCGCTGAGCATAAAGCGGCTATATCACCACTGTGACTGCATTCACCGATGGTGATTTGTGGGTAAAATAGCAAACAGAAACCAAGCAACGCAGCCGCCGTCACTTCCGCAGCGGTCGCGATTCACCAGCTGAAGGATTAGTTAACAATTTAAAGATATGAGAACAAGTGGTTAGAGGAAAGCTATTAGGCAACACCAGTGAACCAGTGTGGAAGTAGCGACTTTCAGCCGTCTTTACTAGCTGAAAGTTCAAAGAATCCTATCAGAATAGGCACTAATGATGTGGGGCTCACGAAAGCAGTTTCGAAGCGTGGTGTTCACATCAGCAGAGTGGCGACACAGTGGAAGGATCTCTACGCTAGCAGAGCGAGACCATGGGCCTTGGTGAACGCCGACAGTT